AAAAAATAAAGTCCTTCATACCCTGGCCCACTCTTACCTTTCCAGTCTTCTTATACCTTACTCCTGTTCATGTATTTTACAATCCAATGACTCTGACCTCCTTGTTGTTCTTTACAAGACACTTTACCTCCCAACTCCATGCTTTTTTCATTGGCTTTTTCACTGGATATTCCTCAGAATGCTCTCTCTCCTCCTCTCTACCTCCTGGCTTCCCTGGCTTCCACAAGTCTCAGATCAAATCCCAACTTCTGTAAGAAGCCTTCTGCAGTTCACCATAATGTTAGTGTCTTCCCTCTGTAATTATCTCCAATTTATCCTGTACATATCATTTCTTCAGTAATTTACATATTGCCACCTCCCCTCATTAGACAATCATCTCCCTGAGGACTCAAAATGTTTTGCCTGTCTTTGTCCCAGGACTTAGTACAGTGACTAGCACACATTAGGTACTTAATAAACGTTTGCTGCCTTGAATCAATTGGACCATCCTGAGGATGCAGCTTTTGGTTTATCATTGGGATAGAACCAAAACTCCATCCAAAACTGACTCCTTTTTTGGAAAAGGGAAATCACTTCCATTTAATTTCAGTGTCAGCACTGCTGGAAGAGATATTGCCTCAACCTAATGGAAGAATCTGGGGAGCAGAACTGGATTTGTCCAAGATAGAAGACAACACAGAAAATGTTACCTGACTACAGAGGAAGTGGTCGGTGAGACTTCAAGACACAAGTCTTCAGAGGCTTCTCTCCTAACCAAGGTATTCCTCTCCATTTAATTATGAGAAAAGAGGCTTGACTCCACTTCAGCTAACTCTCTCTTCTCTCCCAGTTTACCATGAAAGCACTGAACATGGATGACTGAAAGAATGGCGGTGCCCTTGACAGTAACAAGGAAGTATGGGCTATATCCTTTTTAAGCAGTAGTGTTCTTTGGTGGCCACTGGTAAATATGCTGTTCTTCAAACACTGTTTTGTATCTCTGCATGAATGATGCACGGTGAACAATATATACTTTCATTTGCACTCTAACAAAATATGCATGTTATCCAGGTACCTGCACACTATTTTTTGTAGTTCTGATTCTGAATCAAGCTAAATTCTGTTATTTAGATTTTAAACTTCCTTTTCATCCACTGCTTTTTTAAAAACCTGTTTATGATAGAATTTAACTAAAGTCTATTCCAGGTTATATATTGGTTTTCCAGTTCAAAAAATTACAACTACAGACAATTCTCACCTTATGTAAATTCACATTATGCAAATTCAACTTTACATAAAGAATTCTGAAAGAAATCCGCATTCCAAAAAACACCTATGTTAACATTACTGTACAGTATTGCACTCTCTCTCCTCTTGTCCCTCAGCTGGTAGCCTCCCACCCTCCACTCCCACCAAACAAAACCTAAAAACAAACAAAAAAAACCCCCTTCCAAATAAAAGCAAAGGAACATACATATATGAAGAGACCACTGCCACCGTCATACCCCAAATCAGGAGCTTGGCTTAAGACATCCTACACCTAGAGAGTAGACTTTTGCCTCACTCTACCCATGTGTATGCTGTCCCCAGCATGTTTTTCCTCTCAGTTCTAGCCAGGACCTCCATGTGGCTGACCTTGCCCCATGTGTTCCTCCTCCTGCTCTTCCTTCTCTGTCCCTGGTTCCCATGTATCCTTGAACCATATGCCAACTACCTCCCTCCACAGGCATGGCCCACTTCCTGATCCCTTCCCCAAGTCCAGGGGCAAATTCACATTACATGAAAATCATTATATGTAGAGGTCTTTGTAGAATGTAAAAGTCTTCAAAACCTCTACAATCCACTCACATAAAGCAAGAACTCTGTGTGTGAGGGGCAGCTAAGTGACGCAGTGAATAAAACTCTGACCCAGGAGTCAGGAGGACCTGAGTTCAAATCCAGCCTCAGACACTTGACACTTACTGGCTGTGTGACTGGGTAAATCACTTAACCCCAATTGCCTCGAAAAAAAATAATAAATTGCTATCTCACTGGAAAAACAACTGACCTGGAAAATAGATCTAGGAGAGATAATTTTAAAATTATTGGACTACCTGAAAGCAATGATTAAAAAAACAGCCTAGACATCACCTTTCAAGAAATAATCTAGGAGGGGCAGTTAGTTGGCACAGAGGAGTCAGGAGGACCTGAGTTCAAATCCAGCCTCAGAAACTTGACAATTACTAGCTTGTGACCCTGGGCAAGTCACTTAACCCCAATTGCCTCACCAAAAAGCAAAAATAATAATAATAACAATAACAATAATAATAATAATAATAATCAAGGAAAACTGCCCTGAGATTTTAGAATGAGAGGCTAAAATAGAAAGTGAAAGAATCCACCGATCACCTCCTAAAAGAGATCCCAAAATATAAACTCCCAGGAATACTGTAGCCAAATTCCAAAGCTTCCAGGTCAAGGAGAAAATACTGCAAACAGTCAGAAAGAAACAACTGTGAGCCACAGTCAGGATAACACAAGATTTAGCAGCTTCTACATTAAAGGATCAGAGGGCTTGGAATATGATATTCCAGAGGGCAAAGGAGCTAGGATTACAATCAAGAATCATCTACCCAGTAAAACTGAGTATAATCCTTCAGAGGGAAAAACAAACATTTAATGAGATAGAGGACTTTCAAGCATTCTTGATAAAAAGACCAGAGCTAAATAAAAAATTTAACTTTCAAATACAAGACTCAAGAGAAATATAAAAATGTAAACAGAAAAGGTAAATCATAAGGGACCTGATAAGGTTAAATTGTTTACATTCCTACATGAGAAGATGATACTTGTAATTCACAAGACCTTTCTCATCATTAGAGTAGTTAGAAGGAGTATGTATAGACAGAGAACCAAGGTGTGAGTTGAATATGAAGGGATGATATCTAAAAAATAAAAGGTGTGAGAGAGGAATATACTGGGAGAAAGAGAAAGGGAGAGGTAGAATGGGGTAAATTCTCTCACGTAAAAGAGGCAAGAAAAAGTTTTGACAATGGAGGGGAAGATGGGGGAGGTGAGGAAGAGTGAGTGAACTTTACTTTCATCAGAATAGGCTCAAAGAGGGAATAACATACACATGCAATTGGATATAGAAATCTATCTTACCCTACAGGAAAGTAAGAGGAGAAAGGGATGAGAAAGGGGTGGGGGGAACACAGAAGAGAGGACAGATTTGGGGAAGGAGTAGTCAGAAGCAAAATACTTTTGAGGAAGGACAGCATGAAAGGAGAGAGAGAACAGGGGGGAACAGAATGGAGGGAAATATAGTTAGCAATAGTAACTGTGAAAAAAATTTTGAAGTAAGTTTCTCTGATAAAGGCCTCATTTCTCAAACATGTAGAGAAATGAGTCAAATTTATAGGAAAAAGAGCCATTCCCCAATTGATAATCAAAAGATATGATCAGTTTTCAGATCAAGTAACTATCCATATCATGTATGTTTGTATGAAGTAATCAGCCATATTAAAAAAAAATTCTCTAATTCACTATTGAGTAGAGAAATGTAAATTAAAACAATTCGGCGATACTACCTCATACCTATTAGGCTGGCTAATCTTACAGAAAAGGTAATGACAAATGTTGGAGGGGATGTGGGAAAAATGAAATTTTAATGCATTACTGGTGGAGTTATGAACTGATTCAACCATTCTATAGAGCAATTTGGAACTAAGCCCAAAGGGTTAGAAAACCATACATACCCTTTAACCTAGTAACACTACTACTAGGTCTATAACCCAAAAGAGATAAAAAATAAAAAGGAAAAGGACCAATATGTACAAAAATATTTATAGCAGCTCTCTTCTGGGGGCAAAGGATTAGAAATTGAGCGGATGCCCATCAATTAGAGAATGGCTGAACAAACTGTGGTATGTGGTTATGATGGAATAGTATTATACTGTAAAAAATGATCAACAGGATGCTCTCAGAAAAACCTGGAAAGACGTACGTGAGCCAATGCAAAGTGAAATGTAGTGTGTACAAAGTAACAGCAATACTATAAGATGATCAGCCATAAATGACTTAGCTATTCTCAGCAATACAACAATCTAAGACAACTCTGAAGGGCTTATGATGAAAAATGCTATCTATCCCCAGAGAAATAAATGATGGTGTCTGAATATAGACTATAGCATACTTTTTATTTTATTTTTCTTGAGTTTTTTTCTTGTCTATATTTTCTCTCACAACATGACTATTATGAATTTGTTTTGCATGACTACACATGTATAACCTGTATCAAGTTGCCTGCCTTCTCAGTGGAAGGAGGGAGGAAAGGGAGGGAGAGAACTGGGAACTCAAAGTTTTAAAAAATGAATGGGTTTTTTTGTTTTGGTTTGGTTTTTTTACAATTTTTTTTTTTGGCTAGGCAATGGGGTTAAGTGACTTGCCCAGGGTCATACACCTAGTAAATGTTATGTGTCTGAGGCCAGATTTGAACTCAGGTCCTCCTGAATCCAGGGCCAGTGCTCTATCCACTGCACCACCTAGCTGCCCCAAAAAAATGAATGTTAAAAATTGTTTTTACATATAAACAAAATAAAATGCTAAAAAAAATTATGACTATGAGCTCTCTTTTAAAAAAAAATGTATAGAAGTACCTTATAAATCACCAGTTCCAAAGAGTCAGGGATCTATGGAATCAACCCATAAAATTATTTTATATCCTTTTTCATAACATCAAAATTATTTCCATGCCATTTTTTTTCTATGTATAGTTTATTTATGTATGAAAAGACTAGTTTTTACTACATGAAGAGAGTTGGGTTTTTATGGTACTGCCCGAATTCAGGGAAAAATTTCTATTTTAATACATATTTCTCCACGTAAAGAAACCACAAAATGAATTAATTTTACTCTTGCTTATTCAATTCAAATTCCTAATACGCCCAAGTTGCTTATATTAATTATAATGACCTTGTATTTAGAAGGAAAGCAGAAGTATGCTGTGAAAGATATAACAAAATAAAAAGAGTAACACTCACTTAACATCTGGATCTGTAGCTCGATGAACCGGCTCTCCCATTGTCTGGACCTTCTATGAGGAGGTAATGCAGAGTGGTCTGAGTTCAGCAACTTGAAGTAGTTCTCCAAAATGGTGCTAGTGTCCACCTGCCGCTGGTCTGAGCTGCTAACCAGTAGGATGTGTACCACTTCTGTCAGGCACTTAAGAGTTAATTCTGCCTTCCTACTCACTTCCTGAGGATCCCTATCATCCCAGGAATCACAATCAGCCAAAACTCGAAGAAGAACTTCCATAGTAGCTGGTGAAACTGCTTGTAGAGCATTCCTCTGAAACCCACAAGATAATGATCAAATCTTAATATAAAATTATTTTGACCTTTGTAATTGAAGTATTATCTTTTTTCATTTTTACGAGCCCTACTATGGACCATTTAAGCTCAGGAATAATTTGTATTTGTCCACTGAATACTAGGGTTTTAAGTCTCCTCAAAAGACAATTCCTCACAGGAGCCAAGGGTTCTCATTTGTTTCCTCCTACTAACATTCAAGTGAGCCTAATTTTGTGAATGGCTTTTGTTTGAAAAGGAAGGCTATAATATTTTCTGAGGCTAAGGTAGAAAGTTGCCTAATTTGTCAATATCTCTTGGTTCTAATGCTATTTCCTCCTTTCTATTTGTTTCTATCTGGTTCCTATAGTTTCCTAGTTTCTGTTCACTTACCTAAACATTAAATTAAGCTATCTCCCTGACTCACAATATATTCAGCAACTTTTCCCACCCAAATGGCTCTGACCCACTACTCCTAACCTTGCTATTTGTGCATTAACAATTGTGACTCAACTATCTCCTAGTACCTACTTGCCCCTCCAGCCTTTGCCAAAGCACTTCATACCCAAAGCTACCAACTTCCTCACAGACTAGTCTTACAGAAACGTAAGCAATATCATTATCACTTAAATCACATGAATAGGAAGTAATTAACACTGTGAACCAAGTGCTCAAAAATTACAAGTATTCCTTTCCAGTACCACTATACTTCTGGCCAGATGATAAAGCAGGATCAGTTGTCAATTTTGACATAGGGGATAAAACTCTATGTTCAATTAAAAAAAAACATTTATTAAGCACCTACTTCATGCAGATACTTTGACAGCCTTTAAACATGTAACATAAGCTTTTGCTTTTTTAATATTTTCCTCACCTGTCCACCAGTTACAATGGCTCCAAAGAGATGTAACAGGCAACATTTAAGGCTTTCCTTGAGATGTTCACTTTCCTGGAAACACTCTACACATAAAATAGAGAAATCAGTTTATATTTAACAGTGTTCTTCTGTTAATTATATCTCAGTATTTAAAAGAGTAAGACAAGGTTGAAATGAACTTTTACTGGATCCTACTTCACTATATCTTGCTTCCTAACAGTATCAGTATGGCATTTTTATTGTTATCTTATCAATATTGATTAAAATGACACTCATATGTAATTAATCATAAATTATGAATTTTAATCAAGTCTTCAGGTAGCTTCCAATACAGAAATCAAACATGCACATTCTTGAGACTCTAAAATCAATCAAAAGATCATTATAGTCTCTTTCCTTTATGATATCTAATGTAAGTTAAGTGTAACTAGTCTCTGAAGTTTTCAGAGCGAACAAACATTAAACTGACAATTGTTGCTATAAGAATAATCTCAAATCACTGCTACAGCAAAAAACAAAACAAAAAAACACCAGAAAGGTGTCTGAAATTTAAAAACAACTTTAAGAAGTACACAACAATGGTTAAATAAAGGTATTTCTATACCACCAACATTTAAGAAAAAAATTTGTAAGTGAAGAACAAAAATGAAATTTGGTATAATTCACTGTTCTGAGGAAATAAGCTTTCGCTAAGCTGTATTTATACAGATTATAAAAACTAAAATAGCCATAACAGAGAATTCTGCTACCCAGGGCAAATTCAGTTGGGACTGGGGTGAAAATGTCAGTCTGTTTCAGTTGGCTGGAATGACACAGGGCTAAGCAACTCTCAGGAGAAAGCAAATGGAGGAGATACAATCAGAACTGTAAAGGAATTCATACCAATCAACCCTGAAGCATTTATCAAATATCTAACTATATGCCAGTCACTATATTTGGCACTTAGTATACAAATATTTATATGAATAAATACTCCCAAATGGCATAATAATAAAAGAACATGAAGAGAAAATTCCCAAAGAAGGAAATACAAAATGTTTTTAAACCACAGTGCTCAAATTCCTGAATAATCAAAGAAATGTACTGTTATGATAACACCCCCTACACTTGCTAAAATGGCAAAAAAAAAATAGCCAAAAAAATTTATAACAGTAAATATTGGTAGGGCTGCAGATAAATACACATTCAAATAAACTGCCTGACTGTATAGTGGTACAAACATTTAGAGAAGAATCCAGAACATGGGAAAAGCCTCCTTCCTCTCCCCTTCAAGAGCCCCATTAGCTTTTAAAATGCACCAGAAGGAACAATGGTTAAGAAAATAAAAGAGAAATAGCCAAAGGTTCCCCATTGAGACCAAAACAATATGAATAGAATGGAATAATTCTGCAGAATTTCTGAGCAGAGACCGGACTAGGGGGGAGGACAAGAGCAGGCCTAGATCAGAAAACAGGGCCCAACTATTGCCCAAGTGACAAAGCATGAAGCACACAAACAGCCCTGCTGGAGGTACAGCAAGAGTCCGGCATGCTACAGTCCCACCCAGGACACGGCCAAGAATATACCCAGCATCCAGGGAGCCCACGCCCAAACCACACCAAGAAAAAGGGCCAGAGCAGTACCTGAGACCAATCAGTCTCACAGCAATGCATAGAGCCAATTCTATGGTTTAAACTGTGAAAAGAAAAGAAGAAGAAGGTACCAACAACAAAACTCAAGTTAAGCCACCAGGAATCTGAGTCAAACCCCAAAAATTCATGAAGAAGGCAGGGCCTGGTCTTAGTCACCACATCCAAGACCAAGCAGGGCCTGCCCACACCATCCAAGAGCAGGCAAGAGAGCAGAATCTGAGCCAAGTACAAAGTCCAAATTCAGTAAATGAGGCAAAAAGAGAATGAACAAAAGAAAACTCCAAACACAATGAAGAAAATTCCTTGGACTGAGAGAAGCCCAAGTTATAAACCCAAAAAGATAAGAGCAAACTCCAAAATAGACCCTCATCTACAAGGGCAAAAGTACCTGGAAGAAATGAAACAAGGTATACAAAATGTAAGGATAAGGCAAAAAGAAGGCTAGGGAGGAAAGGAAGACAAGGAGAATTAATATTTTAGAACAAAGAGTAGAAAACCTTATACAAAAATTGAATGGTCTGAAAATTAGAATGAATAAAATAGAAAACAATATTCCATGAAACAGCAAAAATATTAAAAGACAATCTAAAGACTGAAAAAAAAACAGAGTAAAGGATATATACTATGAAAAAATAAAACACTTGAAAAAAAGGTCAAGGAGAGATAAACTGAGACTCCTTAGACTACTTGAAAATCATGACCAAGAAACCCATGAATATCATATTTCAAGAAATCATAAATAAAAAGTATCCAAACCTATTTGAACCAAGAGGCAAAGCAATAATTTGGGGAATTTGCCCCAAATTTTCTGGAAAACTCCCAGGAATGTCACAGCCAAAATGGAGAATTTAAAAGAAAAGGAAGAAAGGAAGGAAGTAAGAAGGGAAGAAAAATGTAAAAAGCCAAAAAGAAAGAGTTCAAGTACCAAGGAACCACAATGAAGATCATACAAGATTTATCTATAAAGAAAAGAAGAACCTGGAAAACAATATTCCTAAAGGCAAAAGGCAAAGGTTTATGACCAAAAATTTTGAAAAACAAACACTAAAGTCAAGAGAAAAAAATTGAATAATTTGGATGGGAATACATGATGATGAATTATTTACATTCTAACAGGGAAAGAAAAAACAAGAGTCCCCTAAGAAGCCACTAGGGTTCTAAATCATAAGAGTTAAGGTTCAAAGTTCAAGGGTTGTAGAGGGCCGGTCTGGGGAGTTGGAGGGCTTAGGCCAGCCCGGGTCTTACCTGTAGATTGTACTAAGCCCAACAGCTGTGAAACTCAGGATGTCTGCTCACCACCCCCTCTGTTCCGTCTCTTGAGAACAGGATGCAGGAAGGGAGGAAATGGATAGGGTACAGGACAGGACGCAGGAAAGAAAGTAACAGACAAGGTACAAGGAAGTAAGGAAATCACCTAATTAAATTTGTACTTTTCATGGAAAATAATGTTACTATTGCTTGATCCAGTACTATATAAGTCTGAGCCCTCAGATCAATAAACGAAGTTTGTTCTTCACATCTTCCACCTGGCCCGTGATTCTTTCTCTCTTCACACCCTGCCGGCATCACACCATGGCCGTGGCAAAGGGTCATGGAGTTAAGACAGAAAAATGTACATGGAAGTGATTTTATTCTGTCTGTTAGTTGTAGGAGAAGGCCTCTAGGAAGTTAAGGGTATTTACAATCTCACATAATATCAGATGAAAGACAGTATGAACCTTACTTTCATTTGAACTGGACAAAGGAAGGTTGAAAACACACACACATACACTTAAACACACAAAGATTGTGGTATAGAAATACATTAAACTCCACAGGCAAATAGGAAAAGGCAGGAAAAGCAGAGGATGATTTAAAAACAGGAGTGCAGCTAAATAGTCTATAGTGTCATAAGGGGTGGGGTATTAAAAGGAGAAAAAAGAAGAGTAAAAATATGCGAATGGTGACTGGATAAAGGGAAGAGAAGTGAAATGGAATGGAAACAAATCAATTACAGATGACTAGTCTTAAGTAAACTCCCACTTTTCCCCCACATTCTTCTTTGTAAAAAGGGCACAAGAAGAGAAAAAAGTACAAGAGAAAAGGAGTGAGGAAGATGTAAAACTAACAATCATAACCACGAATATGAATGAGATGAACTCATCCATAAAATGGAAAAAGAGAGCAGAATGGTTTAGAAAGCAAAATCCACCAGCCCTGGTGTCAGGAGGACCTGAGTTCAAATCTGGCCTCAGATATTTACTATCCGTGTGACTCTAGGGGAAGGAAGGAAGAAAGAAAAGAAGAAAGAAAGGAAGGAAGGAAGGAGAATCCAACAACGTATTTTAGGGGTTTTTTTCCTTTTTTTTTTTTTTGGTGAGGCAATTGGGGTTACATGACTTGCCCAGAGTCACACAGCTAGTAAGCATCAAGTGTCTGGGACGAGATTTAAACTCGGGTCCTCCTGACTCCAAGGCCGGAGCTTTATCCACTACGCCACCTAGTTGCCCCCTTTGTTTTAGTTTTTACAAGAAACATATTTAAAATAAAAAAATACACACAGAATTAAAAATTTTAGATTGGAGTAAAATGTGTTATACTTCAAAAAAGTCTTACTTTTTCAAACTCAAAAAAGGAGGGTAACAATCATGAATTCAGATAAGGTTAACAAAAACAGTTATGATAAAAAAAAAAGATAAGCAGGAAAACTATGTTGTACTTAAAGCTACCACAGATAATGAAGCAAAATTAATGATATATATATGCACTGAACACCACAGCACCTAAAAATTTAGAAGTTAAATGAATCCCAGAGAAAACAGTAAAACCATATCATGGTAGGGGAAACTCAATGTACCCCTTTCAAATGTAGACAAATCTAACAGATAAACAATAAAGAAGTTAAGGACCTGAAAATAACTTTCACAAAATTGGAAATAATAAATCTCTGGTGGTTACAAAAAATTTATACATTTCTCAGTGAGGCATGGCACCTTTGCAATAACTAACCATCATTAAGGTATTAAAAACCTCACAAATTCCAAAAGTAGGAATATAAATTCATCTTTTACTAACCTCAATGTAATAAAAAATTATATCTGATAAACAGCCTTTGAAGAAAGGAATAAAAATTAATCAGGGACCATATAATTCAAAACTAAAGAAGTGACAGGTCACAGAACAAATATCAAAGAGTAATCTAGCAACAGATGTTTGACCACATTTAGAAAAAGAAGTGGTGATTACAAAGAGCCTGCAAATATAAGTAATGCCAGATTAATCTCATTTCCTTTTTTGAAAGAATTAAAAACCTAGTAAATGAGGGGAATGCTGTGATATAGTTTACCTAGATTTTAGCAAAGCTATTGATAAAGTATCTCTCATACTATTCTTTTAGAGAAGATGGAGAAATGTGGAAGACATGATAATACAATCAGACAGATTCAAAACTGGTTAGGCTGCCAGACTTGAAG